CCCGGACATGTCCGGGAAAATCCGGACGTATGGTAACCCTAACAGTGTCAGGGGACACTGCACTGAGCTGTGGGATAGGCAGGCTCCACTCACAGAGAACATCGCTGGCAGTGGCGTAGCCAGGGCCTAAGTGCAGGGGGAGCAAACCTAAAAAAGGCACCCCCCCCTTGGCTCCTCCTCCGGCCACTCCACACGCACCCCCGAGCTGGGGCCGGAGGGAGCTGCTCGGCCAGGGCTGGACTGGGCCATGCCTCCCTGGAACCCTCCTCGTATTCCCCCCCCCTTGCCCCAGCTTACCTGCTGCTGCTGGCCTGCCCCTGCTTGTTTTCAGACTTCCCGTGAACATTTGATTCGTGGGAAGCAGGGGGGCGGGGGGAGGAGAGGACGGGGAAGTGAGCTAGGGGAGGGGTGGACAGCTGCAGGGCCCTTTTAGGCGTGGCCGGCCCTGCTCAGAAGCCGCTTTTGAAAAAAATGTGCTGAGAGGAAGCGGCTTGTGCCTGCAGCATGGTGTGCACAGATGAGGAGAGGTGGGGAGCTGTGAAGCCACAACCTCAGCAGGAGGAGCCACAGAGGGGGAAGTGTTGGGACTCAGTGAGCCACACCCAGGCCATGTCTGGGCTCATGGCTCCAAGGAGTTGCTGATTTATGAGCCTGGCAGGCCAGGGAAGCCAGTTGGAAAGACAGCACTTAATGCAAGATGGGCCCTCAACCTGGAGCACCGGCCACCCTATCATCCTTAAACCAGCCTTGCAAAAGCCCCCTGCAAACACATGGTCCAAGGCACAAAATGGCCTTGCCTGCCCTCTGCCCAATGCTTAGGAACAGAGAAGCTGCCAGGACCATCTGTTCCTGTCCGACTCTCAGGGGCGTGGGAGGTAGGAGTTGCAAGGCTGCTTTAAGTGTTCAGTCAGGCCCCTTGTGTTAGCTTGAGTGTAATTTCTGGGTCCAGTTGTACTAGAGGAGGCTACAGTGGTGGTAGCCCTAGGAGTGGGGGCGGGGGGGGGGAAGAGCCCAATGGTGCTCCATAGTGCCACCTGCTGCTGGGCCAGGAATGGCAGCCAAAGGGTTCCTACCTAAGGGGTAGTTATGATGGCAAAAGAGAAGATGTTATTTCATAAAAGGGGAGGATAAGGGCTGAAGAAAGGTTTGATCAGACCTGGGATTTCTTGACACCCCCCCTCCCTACAAAGTTTCTTCCCTTTTGGTGAACCTACTGAAGGGGTATTGCTGGGCAGCACTAGGGGATACACACAGTGGCATGCTCGTAAAGATCCAACATCTCAAAAGTGCCTAAATCCCATTGATTTCAATACTAGTGAGGTGCCTAGGTGCTTTAGAAAATCCCACCTGCTATCTGGCTCATCGGGAAGCTAAATACCTTTAAAAATCTGGCCCCCAGTGACTTGGGCATATTAAAAAATGGGACTTAGATTCCTTTGGAACTGTTACTCTCTGTGGTGATTGGGTCCCTAGCACCTCCACTGAGCAGGATCTATTATGTCAGTGCAGCTCCCTTTAGAAATCACTGATGTTGCACACAAAAAAGTCTCTTTAAGTCAATAATTGGGTGGGGCTTTGCTAGAACAAGATGGTTCAGCTTTTGAAGGGTCTTAAAGCACTTTCCAATGACTTGCCACTCTAGTATGCCTGAATTACAGCACAGAGGATATTGTTGCACTTGAATAAGAAACACAAAAAAGGTATAAAGCTCAGAACCCTCAGCAAGTAACATGGGGACAAGTTTTCTCTTTGTTCTCTTGTGAAATGAGCTGTATGTCATGTCTGTTGGGTGGGATGCTGTGGAGTAGTTGTGCACTGTGACAGACAAGCTGCATGTGTTGATTGTGTATCTTCATAGAATTTTCAAGCAGTTGCAGGTAAAGTCCTTAGTCAACAATGTTATAGAGAACTATTGATGCTACACTGAACTTCTACAAGGAACGTTCCTTTTTTAGGCCAGCACCAGCGTTCTGTAGTAAAAATGCGGTAGGAGCGCCTGTGCAAACACGGAAGACAAACATGGCCCCTGTCTATTTAGAGCTGTTTTAAACAGGTAAGCCATCTGTAACTTAATGGGTAATGAGAATCTAATTTATTCTCATTAAGGCACCTCCTACAAATGGTAGGAGTATGTACTGGTCCTT